GAGGCCCAGAGAGGAGAAACGATTTATTCAAGGCTCATCGAAAACTGATGGTGACAGCAAACACCAGGCCTCTGGCCCCAGACCCTGTGCTTATAACCAGGGACAGGGATAGCACTTTTGTGACACCAGGAGAGCCTTTGTAGAGAATCAGAACTGAGAGGCAACATTCCCCTCACCAAATGCAGGCTCCCTTTCGCACCCCAGCTCACCCTGGCCATGGGCGTCAAAATGAAGCTGGTCCACTCCAGGCCACCAGAGGTGCTGACAGTAGCCATATGCCAGGTGAAGGCCTCTGCTGCCAAGTTCAACACTAAGCAAAGACTCCACACTCACAGGCCAGCAAGCTCCTTAGGAACAGGTCATTAGGGGCACCTGGATGGCTCAGTAAGTTGAGCATCTGCCTGCGACTTAGGCTGTGATCCTGGGGTCCTGGAATTGAGCCCCATGTCAGGCTCCCTGCTCATCGGGGAATCTGCTTCTCCCTCTCCCCTTCCCCCTCCTACTGGCTGTGCCCTCTCTCTCTCTTTCTATCTCAAATAAATAAAACCTTAAAGTGGTGGGGGGGGGGCACCTGGGTGGCTCGGTTGTTAAGCATCTGCCTTTGGCTCAGGTCATGATCCCAGGAAGCCTGCTTCTCCTTCTCCCACTACCCCTCCTGCTTATGTTCCCTCTCTCTCTGTCTCTCTCTCTCTCTGTCAAATAAATAAATAAAAATCTTTAAAAAGAAAAAAAAAAAGAAAGAAAGAAAAGGAACAGGTCATTACATTAGGTCCTACCCAGTGACATCCACAGGCCACCTGATGGAAAGCCTATTCAGTGGCATTGAGTGTATTTGGACCTGTCTGAATAGTTGTGGGTTTGTTTTTCGTTTTTTTGGCAAATGGCCAAGAAATGACTTCTTTACCACTCCAGGGACAACATCCAGCCACCCAGCTGCCCCCCACTGTCTGACATGGTTTATTACAGATCACTGATTTCTCACCGTTGGGTTGTGTGATTCCCACCATTGCCCACACTTCTGATAGGAATTGTCTGTTCCATGTTATTTATATGAATGAATGTGCAGACAAACCCCAGACTCTTAGAAAGGGCCATCTTGCTGGTGAGCAGGCCCTGGAGAGAGCTGGCTGGGTATCAGAGCCCCAGGCTGGCACTGCTGGGGGCTACTGGTGGCTGTGCTTTCTTCTAGGGGAGCCACCTATGACCACTGCTTTGCTGGCAGCTAGAGTGGTAAAGGCAAGGAGGGCTTCTTGCTGGAAGAAAACATGTTGGTAGAGACACAGTTCTCTTAGCCGAGCCCTGGGAGTTGGCCTTTCCAAGCCTCCATCTCCCAATGTGTAAAATGGGTAGCACCCCTGTTTGCAGCACAGACATGCCCTGCAGGCTTCTCGGATTCCGGGTCTAAGAGGATGTTTGTATCAGGCTAACAGAAGTTTCACAGGACACGGGGGTGATGTGCTAGCAATGATTCCAAAGCTGCCCCTGGCTTCATTTGCCCTAGGGGCCCAGCAGCCTGCTTGGACTGCACAAGGATGGTGCCCAACCCTGGCTTACCGCCTTTGGGGCCCTCAGCAACAGCTAACGACACCAAGTGGGCAGAGTCACAAGGGAACTAGGTGGCAGGGGGAACCCCATCCAGGCCAAGGAGGAGAAGAATGGGGCCATAGCTGGTGTCCAAGCCATGCACACACACCAAGGGCCGGGGGGTGGGGGAATGGGCAGGAGAGGCCCTAAAGGCCAGACTGAGGGGCTGGGACTTTATCCTGGTACAGGGTGCATAGCCAGACATGTGCTGCAGGAAGGTGAACAGGGGCATGGGGGTGGGAGAAGTCAGGGGAGCTTCCAGGAAGAAAGGGTCTTCAGCTCAGCTGCAGAGGGTGAGTGGAACAAGGAAGACGCAAAAGTGGGGCAGAGAGGTGCACCCATGGCACTCATTCCTCCCAAACTCACACTCACGTAGTTTCAAGAGTTACTGCCCAAAACAGCATGTTCCTTTTGCAGTGCTCTGTGCTTTGAGGTATCAGGACACTGCTCTGCCCACTTGGGATGCAGAAATGCACGTGCCGCAGTGACAGTAGCACCATGGGCTCTGAGTCCCCAGGGGTAGCCCCAGGGCCCCACCCTTCCCACGCACCATCTCCTGGCTTTGGTCCCCCCTCAGCAGAGGAGCCTGGCACAGCGGCAACACGTGTAGGCCACAAGCACCCAGGCAGCAGTAGGGGGTAACAGGTGGAGCAAAGCATTTAGCCCAGTGCTTCCTAAGCTCTGAAGCTCGTGTATGTTTCCACAAGCCGGTCTCTGGTTAGTGTGTCCCCCAGGCAGTGCGGAATCCCGCCTGGCAGCACTCGCACAGCCAGTGTCTACACAGACAGATTTTGTGGTTATTCTTTGATGCCCATCATCTCCCAGGTGTGTAAATAATGGCCAGTGTGGTTACCTGTGGTTTGTCCCAAGAAAGAGAGAGCAGCAGGAAACCTGAGCCCCCAGATGCCAGGGAATCGAGCAGAGCCCCAGGATGGGGCAAGGGCCCCACGTGAGGGAGCCTCTTGTTCTGTGGTCCTAGGCAGTAGCGATTCTCTCAGCATTTTGCAAGGCACTACCAAGGGCATGACTGCCTGTAAGAAAGTGCCTGAGTTCCCAGATTCCCAAGTAAGGAACATGAGGCTTGGAGAGATGTCTAGGGTCCAAAAAGCCTGCCAAGAACTGTCAGTCAGGTAGAGGTTCATGTGGGACAGGAAGGACTGGTCAGTTGGGGCTGAAGTTAGGAACCCGGGCTGTGTGCTGAGAAGGAAGAGTGGCTGAGGTAGCTGTGGGGTGGGAGGGGTCATGTGGCCTGTTAACTGTCCCAGTGCCACAGAGGGCCTGCCCTCAAGGGACCGACCAGCGGAGGCCTCAGTGTGAGCGCTGGCCAGCACATATGCATTATTTCAGCATGTTGGGGATGCCCTCCTGCCCCTCCACTGCCTGGACTCCACAGCCTGCCCAGAGCTGCTGGGCTCAGACCGGGTATAAGAGCGCCCCTGGCTTTCACCCCCAGGGACCCAGCAGATACCCATTCTAGGACCCTGGCCATGTCCTGACTCCTCTGCCTGGCTCCCAATCCGTGAACCCCAATTCAACACCCAGGGCCCAGCCCTTGGGGACTGGCCTGCTAGGTCCCACCTGCTGGTGGCCAACCCATCCCCCACACCCCAAGTCCTAGACCTCTGTCTGGGCTCTATCACCTGGCATGAGAGCTGGGACCTGTCGCTAGCCCTTAGGGCATGCTCAGCCAGTGTTTGCTCAATGAATTAATGCATGCGTGCTAACGACTCCATCTGTTATTTATCTGATGCGAAATTTGGGGTCAGAAGCATAGCCCCTGATTATGACATCATTCCTAAGAGAATTGATAGCTCTGTTGGGCTTTACAGTGTGGCTTCCAAGAATCCATTAGAGCTAATTACTCCCCAGTAGAATGTGACATTCCTAGACCACCACTTATCTCACATTTGGGAACATTGTGGGGCTCCTCCAGGCACTGCTGGGGCTGGGGTTCCTGTATCTTGTTTCTACAGAAAGGTCACCGCCCCCCCCTTTTTCCCAAGACCCCAAACCACTCACTTTCCAGAGTTTCTGGTATTCCTGAGCTCATTCTAAACAAGGCACAAGATCAGTTTTGGAAAACAGGAACTCCAAGGTGTCTGTGGAATCCCAGGGCAGCTTCTCTGAGGTGGGAGAGTCATGACAAGTACCTCTGAGCTTCCTCTCCCCACTCGAGCTGGTTCCCTCTCAGCACTGGTGCTGTTCCATTATGTACCTCAGACCATTCCAAATCTCCAGGAGAGTAGAGTTTCACTGAGGCATCCTCCTGGACACCCCCATCTGGGGTGACCTCACTTAGGCTAATAGCGCTGCCCATCCATGCTGCAGTGAGCCTGAGCTCCTGGCCGTGGAACTTGGAGCACATTTCCCGTCTCCCCAAGCCTCAGTTTCTTCATCTGTAAAATGGGAACAGGAAGGTGCAAGGTCTGAACCAGCTGGCATGCCGTGGCCACACCATCAGCACCAGCTGTGGCTTCCTTCCTCATTCCCACACAACTGGTGATACAATCTGGTCAGAAAGTCCTGAAATCCGACACCTCAGATCTAAACTAAACCAGTTCCGGGCTTTGTTTGGACATTTGGCTTGTTTGTTTTATTTTGAAACGAAGGGTAGCTTTTGCCATAGTAACTCACCAGCAGTCCTTTTAGAAGCTAGAATCATCGGTTCTCTGTGGAAACGGTGGGTTTGGGAGTCACACAGATGCGTTATGTTCCTTAAAAACTCAGTCACTACAACCCATTTAAGGTCCTCAGATGGGGGTAAATAAGGGCCAGTGCCACTGGGGTCACTGAGCCTCCTGGGCCACTGTTCTCACATGAGCCCAAGGTCCTGTCAGGGGCAGAGGGGACTGAGCCTTCCCCAACTCTCTAGTTTGGAGCCTTTGGTTTGGAAGCACAGGCTCTCCACTCACAGATCTGGCTGAGGACTGACGGTACCATGTGACAGCACCGAGGCTTGGAGGATGGGCCAGAGCTGCTGGCCGGGCAGGCTGGCCACACTCAGGTTGAGGGAGACATGATGGCAGCTCGGGCGCGTTGAGCTAGCACAGGACAGCAGGAGATGAGGCCCTCAGCTGTGAGTACGGAGTTGCCTGGGTCCCTGCGGCCAACGGACACTGTGCAGCAGCCCCAGGCCGCAGAAGAGGGTCTGATGAAGCAGAACATCCCCTTACAAAGACATGTCAGGGTGCCGCAGGTGGGACCAGCCCCTTCAGGGGCCCCAGAGCCCGTAGGAGGCAGGCAAAGACAGACTTGGCCTGGCAGAGGAAGGACTTCCCACCAGGAGGGTGGTATTTCCGGGGCCAGTGCCGGGTTGGGCTTGCCTGCCACGGGGGGCTTCCTCCCACCAGGGCCGCCAGCCTAGAGCCTTTCCATGCTGCATCCCCTGATTAACGCCAGCATTTTCCTGCCCACAGAGTCGGATGGCAGAGAGCCTGCGCCTTTTTGACTCCATCTGTAACAACAACTGGTTCATCAACACCTCACTCATCCTCTTCCTGAACAAGAAGGACCTGCTGGCGGAGAAGATCCGGCGTATTCCGCTCACCATCTGCTTCCCGGAGTACAAGGGCCAGAACACCTACGAGGAGGCCGCTGTCTACATCCAGCGGCAGTTCGAGGACCTGAACCGCAACAAGGAGACCAAGGAGATCTACTCCCACTTCACCTGTGCCACCGACACCAGTAACATCCAGTTTGTTTTTGATGCGGTGACAGACGTCATCATACAGAACAATCTCAAGTACATAGGCCTTTGCTGAGGAGCCAGGCTGGCCAGTTTGCCTGTGGCGAAACCCCTGGGGTGTCACACACCCCCACTCGTGCTAGGGAGACCCAGCCCAGGGGCAGAAAACGGGGGAGGCCTGATGAATGTCCCCCCCGCCCCTCCACCTCCTTGGCCCCCACGTTTCCGCAAACATAAATATATATGGATAGATTGCTAGGTAGGTAGACACACACACACACATGCACACACACACAGTCTGGAGATGGCCAAGTTCCCCAAAGTGTTGGAGCCTCTTGAAGACTTAAGCAGCTGTCACCAAGTTCACTACAAGCCCTTCCTGCCCCTTCACCTTGCCTTCCCGAGTCGGCCCCGCTCTGCATGGGGGGGAGGTGTCCCTGTGGGACTAGGAGGAGGCAGCTGGTTCATCTGGAGGAACACCAGGTCTGCCCAAGCTTCGGACTGGGGACCTTGCTACTGACCAGAAGGGAGGACGAGAGCAGGGTCTGTGCGTCTTCCCTGCTGGCCTGCTCTGTACCATGTTTGTTCTGGAACCAGGGTGCGAGGCCAGATGACACCACTAACCAGACCTCTAGCCACTCACAGCTCTTTTTAAACAGCTTCAGAATATGCAGCAAAAATCCACACGATAACAGGAGTGGCACGATTTGTTTCGAACTAGGCCAGCTGGGTTCCAGCTTTTCTTCTACCAGTCTGATGTTTTATAAATCAAACCCTGGTTTTTCTTCTCTGACATCCTTTTTTTTTTCTTTTTTCTTTTTTTTTTTTTTTTTTTTTTTTTTTCAACCACATGGTCATAACCATGCACCCACACAGTGGGTGCCCCTGACCAACCTTGCCTCCTCCTCTCACCTGTGACTTTCTCCTTTCTGTCCAGCCACTCTGACCTTCCTTCAGCTCCCCATTCACACCATGGTCTCTCTCCCCCCTTGCCCACAGGGCCTTTGCACATGACCTTCCTTTGCCTGGTACAGTCTTTCACTCACCCATCCCTCAGTAATTTCCAGCCAGACCCAGAAGCCAGACCCAGAAGCCTCAGTAATTTCCAGCCAGACCCTGTGGTGAGGGGACTGAGGGTATCAGGCACTGGGGACCCATGAGCAGTTATCGAACCAGGAAACAATGTGGTCATCCAGCCCTTGGTCCTTTTTCCCTGGGCTGACTGGGGAGTTTGAGGAGGCCCAGTAAAGCCCTGGATCAGACTGAGGACTGGCAGAAAGCTCACATAAAGGCAAAGAAGCCAAGCCTCAGAATGGGAATAAACTGAGGTCCCTTTTGGACCTTGGCACATACACTTGTTCACAGGCCTCCCCTCCCTGTATCTGTGCACAGCCCAGTTCCTGCCACCAGTTCCAAGGCACAGAGACTGATATGCTCTGGGACATAGCTGAGCCCTGCAGAGCTGTAGGAAGAATTCTGAGTGGGCCTTCTGCTTGTTTGGTTCTGGTGACCTGAATGAAGAGGGTGCCTCTAAAAGAGGGACCCACCTCAGATGTGACTGTTGGTGGCTGCCCCATGCAGATGGCAGAAGTTCCTGGACTTGGGCTGACGCACACAATCGCCTCCCGGCTGTGTTTCCTTCCCCTTTACTCCCACATTGCCTTGTGGCTGCACTGGTCAAGGACCACGTGGCCAGCCCCAGGCTGCCCACCCACTGCCCCCAAACTGCTCTCCTGATTCTCAGAAGCCCCGCTCTCGGCCTTGGGGTTGTGGAGCACATACCTCCCCAAAACGCAAGTCACACCTCCTTGGACAGGGCGGCTTTGGACTGAAGACCAGGTGGGCGAATCTTGGTACCAGCTGGGGGCCATCAGTCAGGCATTCCAGTCCACAGAATGGATGATGTGGTCCCCAAACGGCCCTCCACTGGTGGGGGGAAGCCAAGACCAGGCAGGGGGCCTGCCTCTTTATCTTGTACCACATGGCCTCCTCGCTCTTTTTATTTTTGGGGTAGCTTACCCACAAGACATTTTTTTTTTTTGGTGTTAAAATAGACATAATATAAAACTTACCATTTTAGCCATTTTTAAGTTTGCAGTTCCATGGTTTTAAATACATTAATAATGCTGTGCAACCATCTGTCTCTATGAATTTGACAACTCTAAGGACCTCCTAGACATGGATTGACATAGTATTTGTCCTTTCGTGACTGGCTTCTTTCACCGAGTGTGAAATCCTCAAGGGTTATCCCTGTTGTAGCAGGTGTCCTTCCTTTTTAAGGCTGAATAATACTCCTTTGTGTGTGTGCTTTACGTGTCCACTCATCTGTCAGCTGGCGCTGGGGTTGCTGCCACCTCTTAGCTGTCGCAGTTAGTGCTGCTGTGAACACAGGTGTACAAAAATCTCTCCAAGACCCTGATTTCCATTCTCTTGGGTGTATACCCGAAGTGGAATTGCTGGTAATTCTATTTTTAGTTTTTTTGAGGAAGAACCACCCTCCTGTTTTCCGTAGCAGCTGTACCACTTTGTATTTCTACCAACAGTACATAAGGGAGCCAATTTCTGTTCATCCTTTTCTTGTTGTTGTTGTTTTAAAAATATAGTACTCATCCTTCTGGGTGCGTGGTGGTGTCTTACTGTGGTTTTGATCTTCACTGCCCCGACATTCAGTGCTACCTGGCATCTTTTCATGCGCTTACTGGCCATGTGTTTATCTTCTTCGGAGAAATGTGCGTTCAAGTCCTTCACCCAATTTCCAGTCAGGTCATTTGTTCTGCTGCTGAGGTTTACTTCTCTGTATATTATAGATATTAACCCTTTATTTTTTATTTATTTAATTTTGTTTATTTTTTTAAATTTATTTTATTTGCAGGTATTTGCTTCCAGGCTGTATTTGCCTTTTTACCTGTTGATAGTGCCTTTTTTGCACAAAATTTTGTAATTTTTATGCAGTCCAGTTTGTCTCTTTTTTCCTTTTGATGTCTATGACCTTTGGTGTCATATCCAAGAGACCATCGTCAAATGCAATGCAATGCAGCTCTTGACCTATGCTTTCTCCTCAGATTGCTATAGTTTTGGTCTTACATTTAAGTATTTGATCCATTTTAAGTTAATTTTTGTATTTGGTGTTCAGTAAGGGCATCACCATTGTTCTAAGGAAACCCCAGCCTGGCAGGAGAAACCAGAGAAAGGGAGGGCACAGAGGAGAGAGGCCCAGGCCACAGGTGGCGACAGGGTGCCCTGATGGTGGGGTGGCAGGCACTCGTGAGCTGACCTGTGAAGATCAGGTGGGGTTCCGGTACAGGAGCAAGGCAAGGGGCCACTGAGGAGCAGCAGCCCCAGCTGGCCGAGACAGCCCTCCAGAGGACAGCCCTGTGCTCAGCTTGGCAGGCTCCTCAGGCCCAAGCTGCAAGGGGAGGGATTTGGGTTTGAGAAGAATCTGGCCACAGGGCCATCATGCATGGCACTGGGAGGATGTGGCCGATGTTTTGGTCCGTTTGGGTGTAACTCCACATGGAGGCAGGGGACTTTCCAGCACAACCCCAGGCTGTGTCACCAATTTGGGCTAGACCATTTCCTAAGAGTTAGGTCACTGCAGGGTGCCTCGAGGCATGTAGACTTGGTGCCTGGTTGCTGCTTGTCTAGGTGGCAGTGAACGATGGTAGGAACCTGCCATTTCAGGTGTGACCTTTGTCCCTATCACTGACCAGCCCAGGGAGAACTGGCCACTTGGGACCTGAGTATACCTCAGATTCTCAAACACAAATTAAGGAAAACAATAATGACAACATGGGGCACCACCAGCATGGCTGGCCTTGCCTTCAGGAGGGAGGGCACTGGCAGTGGGGTCCCCAGGCTCCCTGGGCAGCTGCGGGATTTTGGACTCCTTTCGACACCTGAGGGCCTGCCGGCTCATCAGCAGGACCCAGGGAGCAGCCACCAGGTCCCTGTTCCACACTCTCATAGTCCAGGATGGAGAGAGGCAAGCGTGGGTGGCATGAGAGACAGGGCCTTGTTAATGCCCTGATACTTGTTTACAAACCTCTCTTAGAAGTTCATTCAAGAAGATATGAAATAGGATAAAATGCAAAGAAGAGGAAGAAAATATAAAAAGACCCTTGTGATCTCACAACCTAGAACTCACTGCTGCTTGAATTCCTTCCCTGACCTCTGCTCACATGGCAGGTACATGGCGGGCATGTCCCCCACCCACGGTCCAGTGGGACTGTGGATAAAGGGCAGAGTTCCTCAGCTTCTTCATGCCTAAGCCTCTCTCCCATCTGTGCTCACTGCGTGCCTGTGGTGTGCAGGATACTGCACGGCCCCCAGGCCCCAGGGGACGAGGGCTGAGCACACAGGCCATGCTTGGTTCTAAGGGACAATCACAGGTGATGAGGACACTGGGGTACTGGCTGCCCCTGGCTGGGTTCCAGGCCCTGCACTGAATGCTCTACCCCTAAGAGATGCTCGAGACTGGTGAGGGACAGGTTCTGTAATGTGGAGTCAAGTGCACAGGCCACGCAGCTGGGATGAGACTTATCATCCTGGAAGCACTGGGTGCACATGAAGGTTCAACTGAGGGGGAAAGGTAGCATGAGAGGTGCTGGCCGGCCCCCTGGCCATGGAGGCAGGTGGGTCCAGGGAAAGAACAGGCCTCAGGGCCTGCTTCAGAGCAGAACTGCTGGGTCTGACAGGCACAGAGGCCATCTGGGAGCATGGACGGTTGAGGAAACGAGATGAGGCCCCTGGCTCTCAGGGTCTGTTGGCCTTGGGTCCTTCCCATCCAGGGCCGGCCATGAGGCAGGTAGGGGCTTGAGAGGGGAGGGGTGAAGGCTGGCTACAGCAGAATGAGGAGGCTGCCAGAGACAGCCAGGCCAGGGCAGAGGTTGCAGGAAGGAGGCAAGAGTTGTGTGGGGCAGGCTGCCAGGTGGGGGCAGAGCCTGAGCTCTGGGTCTGCCCTGGTGGGGAGGGCCCTGGCCCAGCGGCTCATAGGTCATTGGGAGAGGCCTGGGAAGAGCTTGCAGCTGAGAGCTGGGTGCTGAGGTGCTGACACCCTGCCCAGGGTGTGAGCACAGCTGTTCCTTATTGACCATCAGTGTGGGAGCACGGACATGAAAGACACGGCTTGGGACCTCAGAGCCTGTGGACTGCCCCCTTGCCTTGTCTTGGACTCAGCGATTCCCAGTGCCCTCAGATATACTCTGTCCTGGCTTGCCTCCCACACCTGGCTGCTGCCCTGCACCCCATAACCCCTGCTACCCCAACTCAGCCCACCCTGCCCATGTCTCCCCTCTCCTCCCGCACTGCTACCTCACCCACCAAGAGCAAGGCTTCTGTCCACCCTGTGGGCTCCCAGCCCAGGGCCTCTGCCTTGCTCTGCTCCTTGCCTGTCTGCTTAGACCAGCCCTGGCCAGCCTTCTCCATGTGAATATCCTGCCCTGAGAGAGAGCAGGAATGACCCAGCTCCCACGAGAGGTGCTGAGGGGATTACCCAGTTACTCTGGCATGGGACCCCACCATAAACCAAGGAGGAGTCAAGCCCCATTGATGCTGTGGCACATGTGGGTACAGCCCCTGCAGCTACAGGAAAGAGTGAGGGAGGTGGGGGGAGGACATCACAGTAGGATCGTTGTATTGAATCCTAACCACCACCAGACCCAGAGACTGAGGTTCTGAGAGGGTGAGGTTGGCCGGGTCCAGTGGGCAGGGAGGAGCGGCAGGGCCCCAGGCTCACTCCCTCACTCTGAAAACCCTAAGGTTAAAGTCCTTGTATGGCTCTGGGCACGCTTTCC